CAAACGACACGTGAACGGTTCTATTTACAATGTATGTGCCACTATTCATTCGATAAGACGTATACTGCAAATAAACGTGCAGGACAATGGCGTGTGAAACCAGCCTTACCCCCTTAATAAGATTTGTAAAGACTTTAATTACTCAATTGTTATTATTTTTATTACCTATAATAAATAATAAACAAATATTTACTAACAATCACGCCACGTTAACTGGTCCCGTGGTAAGTTCGTAAAGAAGCTGTGTTACAGGTACCAGATAACGGAAATAAATGTAATATTTTTATTATACACATACATATATTTAATATACATGCATAACCCTGGAAAAGACATTTTTATATTTATCATACAAATATCTTCCCTTGGCGGGATTCGAATCCGCGACCCCCTTGCGTAGTGACCATGTCACTTACCACTACACCAGACGGCCGTTATTACCTATAATAATATGTTGTTATTATTCCTTTTATTTTCTAGTCGCTCAGCAAAAGGCAATATGAATATTTTTACGAAAAACAATTGGTGTGGCTGCCAGGGGACGAGAACGCGGTGTAGGTGAAACATATGTACCTTACCTGAGCACATTTCAATATCTTACCTACATTTCACTTGGGTAATAGATATGTTACGTAACTAAGCGTAATAGCTCAATTCAATCAAATCAAATCAATCAAATCAAAAAAATTTTTATTCAACATAAATGAAAGTACATACTTGTTGAACGTCAAAAGAACTACCGCCAATTCACAAGAACTAGCCTCCGTCCTGAGAAGAATTGGCAAGAAACTCAGCGGGCATGTCTTTTTTTTTTACATATAAAATTATTATTTATTTATTTTTTAATATTATTATTTTTTTAAATATGAATTTTTTACACTGAGTATTATAACGTAACAATTACTACAATATTGAAATGCCTGGAGCGAGCAACTCATTCCCACTTTGTGCAATCTTCTAGATAATCATTGACTTTATAGTAAGCTTAATAGTGTTCTTTATTCTACGATAATGATGAAACAATGATAAATGTTTTATTCATGGCACTCAAGTAACTAATAAAACATCTAATGTTACGATTCACGAACCCAGCTTCAGATTTAAATGGCGATTCATATTCAAGAAGCGAACGACATTTGAGTCCATTTACCATGACCGATCGAATTTTATGCGTTAAGAATTAGTCTACACGCTTATTACAGTGTATTGAACAAAGTTTCACGGTTGACCTGACTTAACGCTGTTTGGTTTCACATTGTATTGCGCAGATAGCTTTTATTGTATTAAAAAAGAAGTGCTTGTTGCAAAACTCATTTGAGTTTGAAGTAGTGGAGTTTGAGTTTTGAAACTGTAGTTAGCGACATCTGTTGGAACTACACAATTATGATCAGCGCCATCTGTTGTCTGATATAGATACGAAGGTGAATAAATCAAAACAAAATTTGATTTTAGTATATAATTATTTAGACAGATGTCGCTAAATTACATTTTTTAATAATCTTTTATCTGTTCATATTTAAAATTTATCTACGTCTTAAAATTATAAAAAAACAGATGTAAGAGAAGCTAGAAAAACAATCAAGTTAAACTACCGATGTTTTGAAAAACATGTACTTTCGCTATAATTAGCAAAGAGGACCGACTTGTCGAGATGTTTTAGTTTTGGTTCGCTAGATGGCGTTAAAAAGAGGTCCTTGTTATTGTAAAAACTAACATTATTAGCAATCCAGTTCCAGTTTAGGGAGAAACTGGTTGTTAAGGTTTTAAGGTCTTCAGGTAGGGTAGAGGGATTCAATAGTATTTCACCATCGCAATGACCCTAGAACTATTTTGGACAGTTTAGCCTAATTGTTTTCATTTCCACATTGCGCCGCCAGGTCTGCTTGGGACGGTCTATTTTCTATTTGTCATTTGCTATAATACCATGCTGTTGCTATCACATTTGTCGAAGTCGCCCAAAACACGTCATTACGGATCTTCCCGATCCATTAACGGTGCTTTTAGGTACCACAAACACGAACCCGTCGCTAGCGACGAAGGGCTCGACGAGCGAACTAATCCATAGACACAGCCCACTGAGTTTCTCGCCGGATCTTCTCAGTGGGTCGCGTTTCCGATCCGACGGTAGATTCTGCGAAGCACTGCTCTTGCTAGGGTCAGTGTTAACAACTCTCCGGTTGAGCCCCGCGAGCTCGCCTACAAACGTTAGGGCGAAGCTGAAATAGCCTCTCAAGGCTATCAGCAAAGGTAGGAAAAAAAAAGAAAAAAACTGAACAAACTATTGATACACAAATAAAACCAAAAAAAACATGACTGGCAAGCTACGATTTATACACAAATAAAACCAAAAAAACATGGCTGAAAAATGTATAGTGACAGGAGACCGGCTTCGTCCTCATTCCTACTACGTGATGTTTGCTGGATGAGTGGTGACACCTGGCGGGGATAGCTGATCGATTGATAGTTGATCAGTAGTCGAACGGTGAGGGCGGGAGATCAAATTGAATTTAAAAAAAAATCATAATTAAAGGAACTTGAGATTATAAACTCTGAATAAGAATTTATCGTACTACAATTATAATATTTGATTGCCATCATGCAACCTTATTGCGGACCTGTGCATAGAATAAAAAAAATAAAAATCGGGATGGAAAAATAGGGGTTGATCGTATAAGAGTGAAAATTGAGAGTAATATGATTTTTTTTATTTTAATTCATGACAAAATAAAAACAAAATTCTTGCAAAAAAATTAGTTTTTAATTAACAAATAAAAAAATAAGGGTCGATCATAGAGGGGTGAAAATTTAGGGTTGTATGTATCTATATCTATCTAGTAAAGTATCTATAGGTATTCAAAATAACTTTAATAATATATGAGAACATCATTTTGGCCCAAAATGCCACATAGGAGATTTTAAATTTGCAACGACGATATCGTTTTCTCGCATTAAAGCTGTATAATCAGCGGTATAATCAAGTGGTAGGCAGCGGCTTGGCTGTGCCCCTGGCATTGTTGAAGTCCATGGGCGACGGTAACCACTCACCATCAGGTGGGCCGTATGCCCGTTTGCCTACAAGGGCCATATAAAAAAAAACATCTCAAAACTTACTAATTTTACAGGAGAGTTTTAAATGTTTAACATGTGATATGTTTAATACATATTAATCATTTTTGCAATATTTATTTTTTATTTTTTACCAGTTACATAATCTGTCTTTTAAAATAAGATAAAATTATGTATTAATTTTGTTAATAGTAGTCAAAAAAAAAACTAAAACTAAACTACGCTCTTTTGACAGCACTTATGAGAAAAATACTAGTGATACCAAATGTTTACGCAAATTAACTCAATTTCGAATATTTTTGGAAATTGTACACTTTTAATGCGAAAAAGCTATATGTGCCAAAAGTATTGACTCATTTCGAACACGGAACAGGAAAGTAAGTTGTCTACGTACTACCAAGCCCATTAGGTACACAGTCTATGAGTGAGGCGCGAACGGATTCCTCGTGCCGGCTCGAAAGTGAATTGGACTTTACAAAATAGACAGTGGTTCTAAACCTTTGATCGAAAATAACATTTATATTTTATATATTCCATTATATATATCTCAATGTGGGTGGCGCATTTACGTCATATATGTCTATGGGCTCTAGTAACCAATTAACAACTAGGTGGGCTGTGAGCTCGTCCACCCATCTAAGCAATAAATAAAAAAAACTAGGCTTGTAAAGAGTATTTAACGGTAGGCAGCGGCTTGGCTCTGCTTCTGGCATTTCTGAGTCCACAGACAGTAGCCACTAACCATCAGGTGGGCCGTCTATTCGTCTACCTGCTAGGGCCATAAAAAAGGTTCTTTAAATGCGAAGTCCGGACAGTAACTACAGCAACCTCCATGGCATTAAATTGAAGAAGAAACATTTGGAGCAAACAATCGCGAGCTTCTATCACCATTCACGCGGATAAGGTTTTAGCAGCAGTTTAATACTAGGTCTCGCCGATTAAAAAGAAAAAGAACCTATTTATTTTCTTAAAGACATCCTCCTCGCGTCGTTTTCCTCATTACTGAGGGTCGAGACTCCCCCGCTGCATCAGTTTCTCCCATACGACTTCCCTCCATCTGCCGCGATCCTTTGCTTCATGAAGGGCATTATGGAAATTGATGCTCAGAGAAGATCGTACTTGGTCCGACCATCTCGTGGGACTGCATCCTCTGGGACGTTTGCCATCTACCTTTCCTGTCACCATCAGCTGTTCCAGACAATAAAAGGATCAATCAAAAGATATTCAAAGGATGATTTAAAGGCGTAGTTTTGCTGATAAACTGTTTTATGTTCGAAATCGTCCTGGCCTAAAGGATAAGACGCCCGGAGCGTTCGAGCGATCTCGTCGAGCGATCCGACTACCGGTGTTCGAATCCCGCAAGCGGAAACCAATTTTGCTAATGAAATACGTACTCAACAAATGTTCACGATTGACTTCCACGGTGAAGGAAAAACATCGTGTAGTAAAAATCAAACCCGCAAAATTATAATTTGCGTGATTACTAGTGGTAGGAAGTCTTGCGAGTCCGCACGGGTAGGTACCACCGCCCTGCCTATTTCTGCCGTGAAGCAGTAATACGGTTTGGTTCGACGGAGGGCAGCGGTTGTAACTATACTGAGATCTTAGAACTTATATCTCAAAGTGAGTGGCGGCATTTAGGTTGTAGACGTCTATGGGGGCACCGGTAACCACTTATCACCAGGTGGGCTGTGAGCTCGTCCATCCATCTAAGCAATAAAGAAAGAAAAAGTGCTATATTTAATATTTAAACACAAGCCAAATGTGTTGTACAACTGACCCAAAAAGCAACGGGCTGTGTAGAAACTCTGCGGCGGTGCGCGCCCGAACGCTCTCAGTCAAGCGCCGACATTCAAAGAAAGCGGACCTCACTTTAGAGATATTTAACGGAAAAAATATTCACAAATATATAAAAAAAAAAGCTAAAGGCCGCACGCGTACGCGATGACATTCTGAAAAAATCAAATATCGAAAGCGAACGATCGAATTTTAAAAATATTCGAAATTCGAGTGTAGTTTGTGGTGTGCGAATAAATCCTTTTAACCGACAATTTATTATACATGGTGTTATTTTTTGGATATGCTCCAACCGAGAATAAGTAACAGTGGGGGCGGAGCTTTCAGGATGTCACCGAAGCGGAGCTTTGTCGTGCTCGCTGCGCTTTTCTTGTGCACGACTCTGACGACATGTCAAGGTGAGCTTTTTGTGTTCAAATGCCGAATGTTTCTGAGTTCAGGTCACGATTCGTGATGTGTTTGTATTTTTACAATTGATTTTATAGTTGTGACATTCTTGTCAGTGAATTTAACATAGACTGGATTTCAAAAATACTAAAAATAGTTTAAGACAGCAAAATATTCACTAATACGAGTTGATTTTTCCTATGCTCATATGATACTGATTAAAAAAGTCGTGCAATTCTCATCCGTCAGAATGCCATGCAAAAGACTTCAACGAGTATGCTAATGTAACGACTCTACATTTATTTTTTTGCTAAATATTAACAAAAAAAACTAATCTAGTCCAGAACTTAAGTTACGATATAAATTATCATTTATTAGTGCATAATCAGACGAATGGGCTCACGGTTCACTTGGTGCTAAGTGGCTACCGGAGTCCATAGACATCATAACGTAAAGCCATCTAGAGATATGTGGCTGGAGTAATGATCGTATTATACAACAGCTACTCTGAGTTTTGACATTATTGCTTCGCTGCAGAAATAGGCAGGACCGTAGTACCTACCCGTGTGGATTCATTATTACGCTTCAACAGTAGATTAGGTTTTTGTCGCGATGACTTTGGCTTAGGTTAAACATCTCTTTTGAAAACTATGATATGCTTCTCTCGCTTATGGCAGATTTAAAATGAACGAAAGAGATAAAGATTTGAGTGAAACATTATCTCACACACAACCGGTAATGTCGTGACTCGAATAATAGTTATGAAATAAGATCTAGATTAATATTGTGAAACTATCATTAAATACATTATGCACTTCGTGTTCACGAATGCTCAGGGTAGCTTATTGACAGCTATACTGTCACTGTGCAGTTTTAAGACGACAATAACTCTGTCCAAGTTACCGTAAAACCATACTTATTCTCAGAATCTTTCGTAACATAAAATACTTTATATTTAAATTGCTTTCATCTTTGCTGCTCGAATATGACCATTTACCATCAGATGACCATGCTCGCTTACCTTTGATGGCACTAAATGAATGTTTCAGCATACCTATTGAGCAATATAATTAAAATTTTAATGTTTAATGTGACTTTTACGAGTGTCGATAATAACTTAACATCAGGGGAGTCTTTAGTTTTGAAAGCGCCTTAATAAAGACTTAATAAACTCAAAACTAAAAGAACTAAAAAAATCAACTGAATACTGACATTTAACAATATTTAATTATCTAATCACAAAAAAAATCAAACAAAAACATGCGGAAGATTATGAAAATGTCAACTCTTGGCGATACCGAGCTTAATATAAGCTCTGTGTAATACGCTCCTTAAGTTACATGAGCGCTTGAACGCAAGCTTGGTAGATGAAGGTGACATTTACGAATTATATGCTGTTATTACCGGTGGAATATTCCGTCACTTATAATTTGTAAATAAAATACAAAATTTTAAGCCATAAAGAAAACTGACTACAGCTAAAATGAGTATATGATTGAAACTAATTGAGCTTGCATTATTAATGATAGTTAAAAAACTACTCATGATAAAATTTTCTCCTTTCATACGAAAAGCACATGAAAATATCTCTCTCTCTCTCTCTCCCAGAGAAGCTCTGGGGAACACACATAAAAAACAGTCTAATTGAGAATTCCCTCTTGTGTTGAAGTTGGTTAGTAAATACAGCTAACCCTCCTATAAAACGGTAGATACCGGTCATCGTTCTCGCCGAACCCGCCGAAGGGCTCGACGAGTAAATTAACCCATAGCCACAGCCCACTGAGTTTCTCGCCGGATCTTCTCAGTGGATCGCGTTTGCGATCCGGTGGTAGATTCTGCGAAGCACGGCTCTTGCTAGGGTTCGTGTTAGCAACGTCGTCAGGTTTGAGCGCCGTAAGCTCACCTACTAGTTAAGGTTACGCTGATATAGCTTCTCAAGGCTATCAGCATAGGTACGGAAAAAAATACGGTAGATACGTTCCTACAAGGTCCCGTGTTGTACGAATCCGTATTGTATGACATTAGAAGCCAGTACAAAAATGAGAGAAAAATTTTTGAGAATAAAACATTTCTACTATGCGTGTATGTATTTTTTGTTACTTTTTGTACATAAAAAATAAACAGTAAAACTTCGGTTACATATATTGTGTGTGGAATATGTAAATGTCTAAATTATTTTAAACAAAAATCTCGTTTTCGTGTTGTGGAAGTACATGTTATATGAGGTTTTTTTTAATTGCCATATAGGCAGACGAGCATACGGCCCACCTGATGGTGAGTGGTTACCGTCGCTCATGGACTTCAGCAATGCGAGGGGCGGAGGCAAGCCGCTGCCTACCGTTTTTTTTTTGGGTTTTGGGGATTTTCATGTTAGAGTTAGTTTATTGTAAAAAAAATTAAATTCACATACAGTATATCCGCTGCCGGCTCATCCACTTGATGTTAAGCGTTACTGGAGTACACACAATCGAAGTCATTGACCTTATGATGGGTGTTAGAGTTTTTTTAAAATACGAACGTATTGAGTTTCTTACTCCGGTTCTTCTTAGGAGTGCTACTCTTTTTGAAACCGATGATAGAGACAATGTGTTTTTATTTATAATAGGTAATTTTGCATTTAAATTTTGAATATACATCTGGAGTATTCTAACTTCTATTCTAATTTTTGAACAATAAATAAAAAGGTATTAAGGTCCTTTTTAAATTATTACTCTAAACAGTATTATTGAATTATGTGAAACTGGAATGTTCTTTTTTCTTAATGACAGACAGGTCAGTGAGTCTGTCTAAGAAAAATGTGTTTTTTTAAAACTAAATAGTTTTTACATAATAAAGGCTTTTCTTTATATTTGGTTACCTTTCGTTTTATACCGTCCCGCTGTTTTTATCATTCGCATCGAATGACGTCTCAGGTGCATATGTCGAAATATACGTGCTCGTGTAATGAATTATCAAAAAATCCCTTTACAATTCGTAATAATAAATGTGAACGTAATTCTCGCGTGTGTTACTTAACGCGTACTTATATATTTTGACCTGAGCTTGCTTCGGTCTTGCATAACACAGTGAGTGGCTTCTAAATATCATTGGCGATTTGATGTTTTAGGGATCTGCATATTAATGTGGCGGCTTTATTGAGACACGACAAATCGAATATAATTCTAAGGTGAAAATCTACTTGGGTTTAGTGACATTTTTGTAACTTTATAGCAAAGCCATTTAAAGTTTAATATTTAGAAAAATTATCATAACAAAAAACGTCTTTAGCTGTTTGAATGGGATAAGCTTAATGGAAGCTCAATTAAAAACATCGAACTGTTGATGCTAATACTAAATATAACGCACCTTTAATCATAAAGATAAATGTCGCTTATTAAGCAAAATAATAATAATAATAATAAATAATAAATATTTACTAACAATCACGCCACGTTAACTGGTTCCGTGATAAGTTCGTAAAGAACTCGTGTTACAGGTACCAGATAACGGATATAAATGTAAGATTTTTATTATACACATACATATATTTAATATACATCCATAACACTGGAAAAGACATTTATATTTATCATACAAATATCTTCCCTTGGCGGGATTCGAACCCGCGACCCCCTTGTGTAGTGACCATGTCACTTACCACTACACCAGACGGCCGTCGCTTATTAAGCGAAATGTCGCTCAAACCAAAGAACCTTTCCCTCAATATATCTACATGTATAGGAAGATAGGCTCGTATATCGATTGATGTTTAGTCGCTACCGGAGCCTATAGATAACTCTTTTTTTATTGTTTAGGCGGGAGCGAATTTACGACTTACCTGTTATTAAGGGGTTACCGAAGCCCATAGACATCAAAACGTAAATGTCACCATGAAATGAATTGTAAATCTCAGTTTTATAGTGTAATGGTAATAAGCAGGGTGGTAGTCCCTACCCGTGCGGGCTCACAGGACATCATAAAACCAGTAATTACATGATGTTATTCCTTCAACGTCTTTTCGCATTAGAAGAGTACAATTTCCAAAAATATTCGAAATTGAGCTAATATGCGGAATCATTTGGTATCACCAGTATATTTCTCACTTTGTTTTTTGTTTTTTATTGCTTAGATGGATGAACGAGCTCTCAGTCCACCTGATGATAAGTGGTTACTGGAGCCCATAGGCATCTTCAACGTAAATGCGCCACCCACCTTGAGATATAAGTTCTACGGTCTCAGTATAGTTACAACGGCTGCTCCACCCTTCAAGCCGAAACGCATTACTGCTTGGTGGCAGTACCTACCCGTGCGGACTCACTAGAGGTCCTACCACCAGTAAACAATATTGTTATTAAATTAAATAAGATAGGAAAGTTATTATAAAAAGGAATTGAGGGTTTTTAGGTGAGATACCTATTTTAAGTTTACAGTCTAATTAATTGTAGAATTACTTTTGTGTACGTTTTACGTTACTAAAATAATAAATCCATATTTTTAGAGCAACGCCATTGTTTATTTCAAACTTACAATTCCTAGTACAAAATAGAAAAAGTCTTATCTATATATATAAAAATGAATTGCTGTTCGTTAGTCTCGCTAAAACTCGAGAATGGCTTGACCGATTTGGCTAATTTTGGTCTTGAATTATTTGTGGAAATCCAGAGAAGGTTTAAAAGGTAGATACATATAAAAATGCTCGGAATTAAATAAAAATAACAATTTGTTTTTCCTTGATGTGTCCCCCGTCGGACGGATTCTTTTTTTTGTTTTAAGTTTATTTTATACAAAAGCTTAGGTCTTTTATTTATCGATTGAGGCAATACGAAGTCTGCCGGGTCAGCTAGTACATATATAAAAGTTTAATAGTCTTCATTTACTATATGTCGCAATTCTAAGCCGCCACATTATTATCGCATTTTTTTTTGTTGTTTAATTCTGAAAACTACACTGACATTTATATCATTACTCAACATACGGAACCACTGAAGATTTTGTCAATTCACACTTACCTTACACAACGGTGAAGAGGACG